TGCTCTTCCGATCTTTTGTTTACTCACAAGATCAATCTGCGACATCATCTCTGATATACAGAGTGTTGCGAAATTTCATATCCCTTAAACAGAAAACTTTTTATTTCTTTATTAATGGAAAATGTAAACATTATTTATTAAAATTTCTTTCTCAATCTTTAATACGATTTTATATTACAATTTTATATTAAAATTTGATATTACTATTCTACATTATAGCGATATGTTAACTTTGCGATACTTTATAATATATAATAATAATAATAATAATACTGTATAATATTATAATTAAATTACACAGTATTTATAATTAAATTATACAGTAAATTAAATAGACATTATTAATTACGACAGGCTGCATAAAAAATTTTTTTAACTCCGATAGACGCACGACTCAACGATTATATAAAATATTATAAAGTGCAAAGAACAAAATAATATTAAAAGAAATTGCCCAAGATGGGATTATAAATCTTTTTTAATCTATATCGAGTTTTCCAACTACCTCAACACCAAACAACTCATTGGCTGATTTGCTCTTGCCAATTCTCTTTGTTTCGTCTACACGTCTGGTTGTTTCGTCCAGCAGAAACCATTCACGATACTCCTCGAGTATCTTCATTTGCAGTTCAGTCAATTCGCGTATCAAACCCGCCTTTCCACCAGCTTCGTTCGGCAACTTGTCCACCGAGATGTATTTGGAAGCCTCTTCTAACGATGAATGAAAATACATCTGGAAAAATTGAATAAGTTCAGAAAAACATGTTTGAGTACTAGTTGTAAATAAAATAGTAGCTTTGAATATAACTCTTTCAAATTGAAATTTTTATGTTAGGAGCAATTATATTTGTATAATTCCGGATTTGCATGAATTTATATAAGTACAGTTAAAATTATTTGTGACATTAAAATTATTTAATTGCTACATTACGTCGTGTTTGCTGTAAATATAAATGCATTTCTCAAAAAACGCGGATACTGTCAAACAATTACATTTGAGGTTAATTAATTAATTTTTGACACTTACTACGTCTAGCAGTTCCTTTTTCATAAAAGGTTTTATCATGTTCATTACCAAATCGAGAACGGATGATGTGTTTATGACATGGATTTCCTTTATACGAAATGGTGCTGCCTCTTGGAGATAATATAAATATTTCTTGAATCCAAATGGATTCATTCGTGTAAAATGACCAAAGGCTAAATCGCTAACGTCGAAGACGAGGATATGACCGTTCGTAGTACCATCCACCAAACAATAAATATCGAGTAACATCAGGAAATATTTGATAATGTCATTAAAATCAAAGAGAGTAGGATCTTCTAAATATCTTCCATATATTATTTTATAGCCATCCTTCGTTATTTCCTCCAGAGGAAAATATGTTCTTTTTAAATTAAAATAATTTATCTTAATTTATTAATATATCAGAATACATATATCAAGTAATATTAAAATATTAGCAAAAATATTTTGTAGTAGTTTTAAAAATCTACAATTAAATATTAGTACATTTATACACATTACAAAATCTATTTTTTGTGTATCCTTAAAATAATTTAAATATTACAAATCAACATTTTACATATGCATTAAGAAGTTGTACTACTACTAATATTTGCTCACTAAAATTTACAAAGTCGCTTCTTACATGGCTTGGGAAGCCTGTCGTATTCTCTCGCTGAGCGGATCTCGATTGCAAAAAAATTCTGGTAAGTGCGTCCTGGTCGTGAAATAATTCTCAATTGTGTTTTTTGTTGGTTCCATTTGATAATTATTCTTGTGAAGACACAAGGCAATAAAGGTATCCTCAACTTTTGGTAAGTGCGGTTGCTTTTCGCACCACTCTCTCAGTGATTGAATATCGGATAACTTTAATTGAGGATTTCTCTTCATTTCTTCTTCTAATGTGATACATTTTATTGTTGACATTCTACCTGGATTGCAAATTAAAATTATTTTTTTGTGTTTGTAAGAAAAATATCTGTGCAAAATTGATTACAAAAGAGTCAGAGATTGTTATTTTAAATTTATTGTGAAAAGTTTAACAACTAATAGAAAATTCTGCAGAACTGGTTAGTGATGATTAGTCAAAAAATAAAATATATTTTAATAAACAATTTAATAAAGTTATTTTCTGGACAACTAGTCAGAAACTTAATCATGTCAAGTAGGATATCTAAATTTAATTTATTTATTTAACCACTTAAAGATTTATTCTTGTCTAGCGGGTCGGAAAAATCGATTTTTTAACGTATTTTGCAAATATTTGATATGGAAAATATGTGTGTAAAAGGATTTAACCAGATTCGCAAAATTAACAGAGTTAAGCACTTGATAATGGAAAGATCGATCTCCATCTATGTAATCAGTACAAAAAACGTTAAACGTGTTTTTCTCGAAACCACGTTTTTTAAATTGGTTCCCCATGATATCTCGAAAACCATTTGATCAGTCAAATCGAGTTTGTGCACACATCTCAAGTATATGCGTTGCTATATGCCCCTACCACGATCAAATTAAAATACATATTTTTTTAATTTTTATAACCCTTTAATGAAAAAAGTTGCAAAAATCAAAACTTAATTTTAAAAATAATATCAATTTTTAAATTTTCAATATATTTTTTTTGTTTTGGTATCAGCTATAGCCAAACTTATACTAATTAAGATCGGAAGAGCACACGTCTGAACTCC